TTTTTATTGATTAACGTTTTTTACTTTTAAGGTTATTTCAATCATCTTTTCGTTTGATTCTATTTTGTGTTTAAGGATTTCCAATTCCTGCCAGCCCAGCGTGTGGATATGCTCTTGGCCTTCAATCGCAGGTTGTAAGCGATTCCCAAATGAGTGCCTCTTCTAAATGGAATTCCGCTCATAGGGCGGCCAATGGTAGGCTACATTTCCGTGCCGGTGGAAAAAGAACTGGAGCGTGGTCCGCTAAATACGATAATGCTGAACAGTGGCTCCAAGTAGACTTCAGAAAAATTGCAAAAATCACCAAAATAGCGACTCAAGGCCGTCAGGATCATGACCAGTGGGTGAAGAGTTACACACTTTCGTACAGCAGAGATGGTGTATTTTGGGCACAGTACCCAGAGGTGAGCAAATTGAAGTATCGCGTCTAGCTAATGTACTTGGAGAGGGTCTCGATTCATTTTTGGTGCATTATTTTTTAAGGAAGAAACTACTGTTGGGTTTTGACAGCAATTTTTGAAATTATAGGTACTTTCTGGAAATTCTGATCGATCGACTGTTGTCACTCATGAACTGAAACAAGTGATATACGCTCGTTATCTGCGGATTCATCCTCAAAGTTGGCATGGATACATTTCCCTGAGGGCTGAGGTCTATGGATGCACTTCAGGTAAGAATAAAGATTGGGCTATTTTGGTGGTTGAGTAATTTTTAATATCTGGGGTTCGATGAGTATTGTACTTTTGTCATTCGCTCAGGATTTAATGTTCCAGCTGAAACGTGCCTTTCTGCATTTGGAATGCAAGACAAAACCATTCCCGATTCTAGTATCACAGCCTCTTCCATGTGGGATGCAAACCATTCACCATCCAGGGCAAGACTTGGTACAGTTAAAGAGGGCGCCAAGAGAGGCGGGTGGTCGGCAAAAACGAGTAATGTGAACCAATGGATCCAAGTAGATTTGGGTAAAGTTGTCAAGGTTACTCGTATCGCAACACAAGGTCGTCAAGATTATGGCCAATGGGTAAAATCCTATTCTTTGCAATACAGCTTGGATGGAGGTCATTTTGAAGACTACCAAGGAGGTCGGGT